ATTAAAGAACTTTAATTATTTCAGCTTAGTTTGAATGTTGGGGTTAAAACATTAGTCGGTCTTCTTCTTTATCCAAGATTAGTTTGAGATACTGAATTACTTGTTGAATTATCTTACCTCTTTAAGTATTGCAGTTTTGGAAGAATTTGGATATAGTATAACTGAAAAAATGAGGAAATGATGTAATAGTTTATTTCTATATTATTTTTTCTTCTCAAGAATGGTTTCCTTATTTTTAAAGATATTAACAGTACCTGTGTGGTTGTAGCAAAATGTTTTAAATTTTTTATTTTCTAAATTGTTTGCTTACGGACGTGTAAATATTTTGTATAGGGGCGGGATCCCCTTGGTATCATATATATAATATAAATATTTTTTATTTGAAAAAAATGTTTGCTTACAAAATGATGGTGAAAAAGATGGTGAGATTAATGAGAACAAAAAGTTGTTTTAAAACCCAGTTCATATTTACTTTCAATTTTCAAAACTTGTTTTCATTTTTAAGAATCATATTATGTGTATATATATATTTATTTAAAAAATGAAAACTCAATCGTGTTTCCCAACTAAATGGAACCTGACTTTTTTTTTCTCAATTTTCTATCTCAACTTCAGTTGATATATCAACTCAGTGTTTTTGGGATGTGTGCAGTTTATGATTCTAACTGAATTAGAAGGGCTATTAAGGCTTTTGTTTTTTGCTTCTGACAAAGATCATATGTTTTTTGTTCATGAGTTTGTCCTTGTTTTCATTTGAACAACCATGTTGCTTGTCAAACATATATGTGTGTGTATATATATTTAGAAAACGAAAATTCAACAGTGTTCCACAACTAATTGGTACTTGAAATCTCTTTTTCAAGTTTATATATCAACTTCAGTTGATGTATCAATTCAGTGTTTTGGAATTTATGCAGTTTATAATACTAATTATTAGAAGGGTAATAGGCTTGTGTTTTTTTGCTTCTGGTGAGTCAGAGATTTCTGGTTCTAGACCATCTTCTTTTTGGTTATGCTTCATCATTTTTCTTCTTTAAAGGATCTGGGCACCTTATTGATATTTTGGCCGAGCTGTAAATTCCTCAGAAATGGGTGGCACCTGCTGGGTGTATTGTTAAAGGATCCCTTTTCCATTGGGAAAATGATGTTAATTGAATGTATAGTTTATATGTATGAAAGAGAATCCTGATTGTAGTACTTTTTCCTTTCCTTTCTTGCAGGTTCAAAGTGATCATTTTGAGGAATTTTTTGCCCCTGAGCTCGACAAACATGGCTATCAGGCTTTATATAAGAGGAAAACAAATGAGGTTAGTTGCACACTTTTTTTAAAAAATTCATTAGTAATTAAGCATTTCTACTGTAATTTTTAATGTTGATTACTGCAGGTTTACAGTGGAAATACCCATACAGTTGACGGCTGTGCAACATTTTTTCGAAGAGATAGATTTTCACATGTCAAAAAATATGAGGTTTGAAAGCCTTGAAATTGCAGTATGTTCTTTATGGTTTCTTCTCATGCTAAACAGACAGATGCTTGCAAGCAGGTTGAATTTAATAAGGCTGCTCAGTCTTTGACTGATGCTCTGATTCCTAGTGCTCAGAAGAAAACTGCTTTGAACCGATTGATTAAGGTAACTTGATACCCCTTCATCTGAAAATTTCAGGTTTTACGTGGACTCTTTATATTATATTTTTGCAGTACCGCTAATATGAATTCTTTTTGGTCCCCAGGATAATGTTGCACTAATAGTGGTTTTGGAAGCAAAATTTAGCAACCAGGGTGCTGATAATCCTGGGAAACGACAACTTCTTTGCGTGGTAGGATTTTTTTTTAATGTTTTCTGAGTTAGTTGGAGCCAATCTGATTCACACATTCAAAAATGCATGTTATGTAAACTTTTAAGCTGTTCCCAGCTTATAGGTGATTTAGTGGTGAATGGTGGTAAATTGTGATGCTTTACATACTACCTGCCCGTTTGGCCAAACCTAATATTCATCTTATTCGGGGTTAAAATTGTCAGGAAAAGACTTTCAGTAAAAGTACTTTTGGGGTTAAAGATGTGCACTGTTTGTTAAGAATCTGTGTAGACAAAAATATGTAAATAAAATGTAAATGTTGTTTTTGATGTTAACTAAAAATTGATGTAACTATAAAAGTTAATGAGCATAAATACTCAATTGTTGGTACACTATTCATTTTTCTGCAAATTAGCCATTTGACTGTTTTTGTGTTCAAATAGGTGATGTAGGAAAAGTAATGGTAGAACCAGAATCATCCTAAAAATTAGAGAAATAGAAGAAAATATAGGATAGAGAATAGAATAATAAAGATAGACCAGAGGAAATTAGGAATGAAGGTGAAGAAATTTAGGGAGAAATAGAACGAATGAGATAGATCAGAAGAGAATAACAACCATGAGAATAAACACAAGAGAGAGATAAAGAGAGAATAAAATCCCGAAAAAGGAATTCATTTTTTTCTTGTCATTTCATTGGTAATTACTAGCCTTTATAGAGTCATTAGTGTTGCAATAAATAAGGAAAATTATGAAAGACGAAAAATCTAAAAGATTGTAATTCCTATAGTATCTAATATCCTCCTAAGACATTAAAATATTATAATACCTCCATTAATAAGGAAAATTTTAAAAGAGGAAAGCTAAAATATTCTTTTTTTTAAATAAAAGAGAAATATTATTATGTACAATAATACCAGAGGGTACCGCTCGTATATAAAATAGATTTACATATCAAGAAAGGTAAAATATTCTAATTCATATAATATTTAAAATCTATTTAAAAGGAAACTAAAATATGTTAATGCCTAGATCCTCTAGATAACTTAAAAATACAAAATAATAATAGTTGCAAAATGATTTCTTTACTAGAATATTTTTTTCCAAATTAAGATATTCTTTTTCTGCACAAATAGGTCTTGTACTTCGAAATTTTTTTCAAATAATCCCCTGAAGTTAGGTGTCTGTTAACTCTGTTTACTTATTTACCACAATGCTCCTGTTATGGCCGCATCAATAGTCACGTGCAACAATTTTTAAATAGCTTTGCCAACATAGTAGCCACATGGTAGCAATTTTTAGATAGACTTGCCAACATGATGGCCGCATTGGCAGCAAACAAAAACACCAAAAAAGATTATCGTCACAACTCCCTTCTTCTCTCCCTCTGCTGTCTGCTTATTTTCTCCTATACAATCTTTTCATCTTTGCTACTCAATCAAACCACATCCAGATCAACTATATACAAAGACATTATTGTTAAAAATGTTCTGAGACACTATTCACCTATGTCTATTGAAGCAAAAGTCGTAACGGAAAACATCTACATTGGTCTCTATATTCCTTTATGAAAGCTACAGTTCAACTTAACACTTTCGTTTCAAGTGATTGGTCAAGTTTTTATTTTTCACAGAAAAGCTCAACTTAGAAGCTTGGTCAAACTGACTCTTCAATCTTTTCTACTTCTGGACTTGGGTTTTAGGTTTTAGGGACTTGCGCTTTTGGAGGTGATTCTTTGACAATTTCGTATAGGTGGTTGTAGCGTGTTTTGTGTATTCTTTCTATGGTAGCATAGACACTTGCATATAGGAGATATAGACAGTTTAGAGAATTAATGATATTTTCCTACATAAGTTTGGAATTGTTCTGTCTAAAACTTTTGCATCATCATCTTTTCCAGCACCTTATAACCATCTTTAACTTTTAATGGTGTGATTATAGGCGAACACACATGTAAATGTCCACCAGGATCTGAAGGATGTCAAGCTTTGGCAGGTCAACATTTTCTTCATTGTATATTTATTATTTGTTTAGCATATGAAAGACTAAGATTCAGTTGTGCTATCTGATTGTTCACTTTAGGTTCATACACTCTTGAAAGGATTGGAAAAAATAGCGGCCAGTGCCGACATTCCCATGTTGGTGTGTGGAGATTTTAACTCACTTCCTGGAAGGTCTGATCTATGTTTTGATTAATTTTTAGCTGTTGTTGCAGCTCAAGCTTACAAAGTTTTTACTTTAAGTAAGGCTGCTGGTTAAATCTATGCAGTG